TTTCACCATATGGTTATAAAAAAAATACTACTCATTTGTCTTATTAATGTTGAAACAGTAGCAATAGAATTCCTTATTATACACTCACACACACACTTGTGTGTGTGTATATGCATCTGTGTTCTTGTGTATATGAACGATCGAGGATCTAGATGATTTGTTAAGTTTCTTTCTTTCAGTTATGTATAGCCTAGTGACTATGCCACATTTTGTAATTTGAGGACATAGGTTGTTTTGTATTGCTTGGTTTTGTGAAACTAACTGATGCATCATTCCTGTCAAGGAAAGATGATTTCAGACCAAATGTATGACATCAGTAAAGAAAGAATCTCATGGTCTCATACCAAAATAGCCTCAATCTAGTTCCATAAGATCAGACAGAAAGAATTCTATAAAGTATCTGTTATAAAATGTAGCTAAAAAGCTAAGTCTGACCAGAGAAGGTTGGTTAAGCATTGGGAAAAGAAAGCAGCTTTCTTTAATGAGTCATAAAAACCTGTAACAAGTAGATTGAATTTAAATCTTGATAAAAATATTAGGTAAGAGATAGTGTTTCAGGGTTTTCTTTATTTTTACGGGTTGCTTATTGAGAAAAAAATACATAAGCATCTTTTCAAGTCAGAAAATAGAGTGCATTAATCACTTTAAAATCTCAATTTTACTATTTCAGAAATTATGGTCACATATTTAAAATTATAGTGTCATTCTTACAAATTCAGCAACATCAACAAGAATGAGCTCAGTTGTTTCTTCTAATGAATTATTTGAATACTTAAATTCAATCCCTTGAGAAGGTATTTTTTTATAAATTTGCATTGTAATAATGTAGATACAAGTCAAAGTCACAGTACTTTTTAGGTAAAACAATGAGATAATTTTCCACCACTGTTTTCAATGTTGCCACTGAAACCATGTCTGTATTTCTGAGCTCAAAGTCTATGATTCTGTGTAACAAACAATTTAAAAACCAATTTGAACAACAACTTAAAAAAAAAAAACATTTCCCCCCCAAAAGTATAATTTTCTAAAGCAAGTTTGAGAGGTATTTGCTTCTGAAATATATTATTCTAGGATTTAAGAATTTATCTCGTTTCCTTATAGTCATTTTTTGAGGACTTAAGGAAACAAGTATTTTTCATGTGCTGATATCCTTCTAATTTATCAGCATATGATGCACATTACTTTCTCTAATCTTTTCTCTAGTGACTGGTACTTTGCTTTTCAAACCTACTTCCACCCCATAGAGTAAAATCTAAAATTTTTGGAATTATTCACCAAAAGATATCCATCTATGTTGCCAAGTCCATGGTATACCTTTAGTCGTGGACAAGGAAATGTTTTGTCACTTACCTTCCCAACAGCAGAAATTCTCCAGCTAGGCCCAAGCGCCTCATTGCCATCAGTAGACCCCTCACTGTCATGCCTTCACAGAAGCACGCCACCACCCGGGCTTTGGGCAAGTGGCTCCTGAGTTTCTTCAGCAGTTTGTCAAAGCTCTGCTCTCCTGCATTGCTGTAGATTTTGTAGGAGTGTGCAATGCAAATTCCTTCCTTGGCTGACATGTCTTTGAATGCCTCCATTCCACTTTCTCCATAGTTGCCTGCAAGAGAACAGATAAGCAGAGAGGGTCAGTGAAATGATAGTGTGAGATTCATGGGGTGAAATTACAATGGAAAAGCACTGGAGCATGAAGGGTGCTTGATATAGTTGGGTTTACAATCAGAAGACCTGAATTTGAGTTTTGGGTTTGTCACTGACTTTTTCACTTTGGGAAATATACAGTGAAGTTACAATATGCATATATACATCATCAGATATTTCACATTCATTGAGGGAGGTAAATAATGACATCATATATTTCATATCCATTATTGAGGGAAACAAATAACAAAAATGCAGGTAATCAAGGTCTTGCTTTGACTTAAAAGAACATACACTCTTAAGCGTATGGTGATGGAAGACATCAATCTGCGATTCTTTCTACTCTGCCACCCTTTGCTTTTCATCGCATGATCATTACACCCAAGATTTCTATGCTAACATATTTATGAAAGTATATGCTTAATATATAGGTTGTTAATATATTTTATATATGAGTGCATATATTATATGCTAATAAGTAGATTAATTTATGATCGGATCCCAACTGGAAAATTCAAATCCTTGAATTAGACTTTAGTTTTATCACACATAGAGATAGAGATATATAGAGAGAGATGAGATAGAGGTAAGATAGAGATATAAAACATTAAATATAACACAATTAAAATATCATTCTTGGTGACTAAAGGGAACTTAGTGATATGGGGCAACTATTTGTCAAATCCTTTGCAAAATTGGAAAATAGGAACTGATGTTGATAGTCACCTATGCCAAGAAGTGTCCCTTAAACTTTATATATAAGTGATCCCATTTAGTTCTCACAATAGAAAGTTGCCGTAGGTAGTATGACATCCAACATGCAGGTAAGAAAGAGAAGGATACTGCATGTACAGTATAGTTAGAAGACTAACTCCCATCTACAGATCTGTCTAGCATCACACATTCTATTCTTTCTACTTTTCTATGGTTGACTCTTGGAGGTCTTATAAGTCCAAACATATGTATACTCTTCTTCCCCATTTAAAGGTCACAGTGTTTCAATTTTAGATATTTTTGGATGCTCTTCATGATGAAAAGGCCATACAACGCTCATTTTTAAATTGTCAAAATATTAGGACAGATGTAAAGAGAATCCACAGGAAGAATCTTGAGGGCTATTGCAAGACAGCTCAGCTGAGAAACATTATTACCTAGATCTAAAAATTTAAATTTTATCAGGAAGTGTAGATCTTAAAACATATTATATAGGGTTCACTACATGATTGTAAGACACCAAAACCCAAACTTTTGTCATGGAGTTGATTCTGACTCATGTATTACTGAGTCTTTGACATAACGTGTTACAAAGCACTGGTGGTAGAGTCTCTAGGAAACTGTGCTGCTAACCGTGAGTGGTGCGTGGCTCTCATAGCTGGAATCCTTTTTAATATGGAAAAAAAGAGGATGCTGTAGATTGTATTCCTCAAAATATATGTCTGTAATAACAATGTGGAATATATTTTAATGATTCCCTATGATCTAATAAGCCATATTTTATAATGAACCCCCTTAACTTGATAGGTCATGATTCTCTACACTACAATAAACAAATTTTGTAATAAGCTCCCATGATTTAATACTCTCAAACTCATTGCTACACAATTGGAACTTACTCATAGCTGACCGTGCAATGCTTTTAGAATCTGTAAATTGCCTAGGAGCAGATAACTTCTCTTCCTCTCAAGGAATTTTGGGTGGATTTGAACCATCAGAGACACACCATTTTTAGGTTAGCAGCACAACTTCCTATGAACTATGCCATCAGAGTTCCCCTATGATATAATAAGCAAGGTGAAAAATGCTCAAGGTTATTAAGATAAGAACATAATATCACTTAATGTCATTAAGTATACTAAGGTAAGATCTGAATATCACCAAGGAGGAGTTCCTAGAAATGGAGTTTAGCCTTTGGTCTAAGATCCTGCACCTGGATGCTCCCCAAGGTATGGAAAGCAGAAGTGCTCCTCCAAGGTAAAGATGGTAAAACGTTCATATTTTGAACTTGCAGCTATTGAAGCCTACTCTTTGGGAAGGGAAATTATGCTTGGAAAGAAGGAGGATCAGAGAAGGAGAGGAGGATCCCCAAGGAGACAGAATGACAATGACACAGTGACTTCAGCAAGGGGCTCTAGTTGTCAGAGATGTTGATTGCATAGGGCAGGACAGGGTTCAGGTTAGCTATTCATAGGTCACTATGAGTCCTACTTGGCATGAAGGCACCTAACAAGAACAATGACAACAATGTATAATATATCCAAGGAATGTGAGGCTTACAAATTCAGAAAGAAACACAAACCTCCTTCAAGTCGACAAGTATAAAGTTTCCCTCTATGATTATCATTCAATGGTAAAGAAAGTCCAAGTTAAAACTTTAGTGAAGACATTGGCAAAAATAAGTCCCCAGGAATTGATGGGATACCAACCGACTTGTTTCCATTAACAGATGCAGCCCTGGATACACTCATCAGTCTATGCCAGGAAATTCTACACAACTGATTGGAAGAGGTCCGTATTTGTTCCCATTGCTAAGAAAGGTGGTCCAATAGAATGTAGAAACTATTGAACAAACAACAAAACAAAAAAAAAAGAAATAACCACCAAACACTCCAAATATTACATATTTAATTCAGTCACCTAGGTTTAGAACACTATATATAAAATATTATTTATGGGAATGAAAACCAGAGGTATATTATAATAAAAATACATATTAAGTGGTTTGTTGAATGACAATATGTTATATTTGTGACCTTTTTCTTCTAGTTGCCAGGAATAGAACTAAAAAAAGAAGTTTGGTCTTAAGAAAAAAGGTATGATCATATGAATTTGCATATGCTAAAGGATATAAAATCAAATAAGTGCAAACAAAATCATGACCATTATAACTTTCATTAATGCCAATTAATATTTGGAAGTTGTTATAATACAGTTATCAATAGTAATAGAAATATCAGATGTTAACAAAACAGAATTCTAGAATATACTCAATAAATGCAGTTTCTTCCCTTTAATATAGAAGTAAATGCTGACACAAAGAATGAAGAGAGAAAAAAGAAACCAAGAGAAGAATGTGATTTTATTTTCTTGTATGCCAACTATGTGAACTACTAATGTAAGGAGTGAAAAGATTACTTGATTTTTGGTAACATAAGGCAGTCATATAGAAATGTAATGTGTGTGTGTGTGTGTGTGTGTGTGTGTGTGTGTGTGTGTGTAGGGGTAATACGTGAAGACGACTACATACTGTACAACGTCATTGTAAAAAGCTAGCAGTAAAAAGAAGAGAAAGCAGCATGATGGTAACAAAGAAAATATAAGAATGAACTTTAGGGCAAATGAACCTTATGTAATTGCTTAGCATATAGTATAGCACAGAATACAAATATATGGTCATTGTTCCATCAGGTTTTTGATAAGTCATTCTTAACTCATTGCTGTTGAGTCAGAACAAATTCATAGCTGATACTTCTTTAGATTTCTGAGGCCATAAATTTTGTGGGAATAGAAATCCCCATCTTTCTCTCATGGAGCCATGGAGAGGTTGAAATCTTTGGGGTTAGTTTACTTAAGACAGACTCCATCTTCCACCAGAACTAACCATTTTAAGAGTAATAGTTGACAACATCAAATTTAAGGGAATAGAACTCTAATATTAACCCTACAAGTGGAAATATTTATTTATTAGTACAGATGTCAAAACTGACCAAAGAATGGGTGAGAAACAAGAAAAATAATATATTTTCTGTTATCTTTTTAAAAAAGAGAATTTTGAACTGACAATAGTTCAAATACATCATCATATAAATCAATTTACCCTACAATGTAGCTATTTCAAATAGTTACAGATAAAGTACTAACATAAAAAAATTTGCGGAGATGTCAAAGCCACAAAATGGAAGAGCTGATATTCAACTTTGATTTGCCAAGATATTATTTTCTTATAGTATGTTTTTCTTTTCAAGCCACTAGGTGAGGATTACTCATTTGCTTGTTGGATTAAGTCAAAGACACTCTTGGTTTTGATCCGTGCTGCCAAGTTACCTGTGACTCATAGCAACACTATGTACATTAGCCCTGAATCCTGCCCTATACTGAGCCACTCTTAACCTCTCCAACAAACCTAATCCCATTTCTCCAGTAACTGAATCAATCCATCTCATCCTGGGTCTTCCTCTCCTGCACTGCCCTTCCACCCTTCCAAGCATGATGTCCTTCTTGAAGGACTGGTCCCTCCTGGCCGAAGTACGTGAGACAGAGCTTCAAAATCCTTGCCGTCAGAGAGAGAGCAGCTTTCTTTCACTCTGTCCTGGACAGATCTGTTTGTTCTCCTGGCAGTCCACAGTATGTTCAACAATCTTTTCCAACACCAAAATTCAAAGGCATCAATTCTTCTTCTATCACCCCTATTCATTGTTAAGCTCTCTGAAGCATAGCAAGTAATTGCAAGGACCATGACCTCTTGTATTTAACGTTTAATGCTTTATTTAAGCCCCATTTCAGATGTTTTAGAATGAATTAATTTTAGTAAATGTATAGGGCAGACTTCAAAAATACACTCTTGCCTGACTCACAGAAACACCATAGACATGCAGGATTTAGCATTCAATTATCTAATCTACATGAGATTAAAGAATTGATGTTCAAGTTTCAAGGCCTTCCCACAAATTGTTGTTACTGATGGTAGGTGCTATGGATTCATGTAGGACATAAATAACCCTATTAATAACTGAACTGAACTTTGTCTTATCCTGTGTTATCCTCACAATCTCTGACACACTCAAGGACATTTCCAGTTACTGTGTCAAACCACCTAGTTAAGGCTCTTCCTCTCTTTCACTACCCCTCCACCTTTCCACGTCTTTCTCCAAGGAATAATCTCTCCTAGCAATATGTCCAATAATGTGAGTTAAAGCTTCATCATCTTTGCCTCCAAGCAGTGCTCTAACTGCACCTTCTCTA